ATCAGGGCTCTGCCAGCCAGGTCAGGCTCCATACCTGTCCTGTTCCTGCTCTGTGTGTGCTTACATCATCCACTTGCTGTTCCAGCTTGGTCTTGGCCTTGCTCAGAGTATTGACTTTATCTTCCTCTACCTGCAGGTCATCCAGGGTCTGCTGATGGGCCTCTTGGAGGGCTTTCTTCTCTTTTGTCAGCTTGGCAATGGTCTCATCCAAGGCTGCCATCTCCTCAGTCAGGTTTTTCACCTTTAGGAAGAAGGGAGCAAATGTAAATAAAGGAAGTAGCTATAGAAGTCCTGTCATAGCACACAGCCCATCTTCTGAAGTGCCATTGACTGGTTCTACCTCATACCTTGTTTTCAGTGGCGTGTTTTTCCTTCTCCACCTTGGCCAGTGTTAGCTCAAGGTCATCAATATCTTTCTTCAGCTCGGAACACTCATCCTCCAGCTTCCTCTTCTTGGCTGTCAGCTCAGCATTAATTTCCTCTTCATCCTCAACCCTTTCCGTCAACTCCTTAATTTTGGCTTCCAGCTGGATTTTGTTTTTGATGAGCTGGTCACACCTTTCCTCAGCATCAGCCAAGCTATCTGCTTCCTGGTAGGTAGACAGAATTTTGTAGATTTTAATGTTTTTAAACTCTCTTTACTCTGACTGTTTTATGACAGAGTAGCATCTGAACCTAAACTTCAACTCCAGCAACAGAAGGATCTTGAGTGGTGTCTACTGGAAAACCTTTTCATTTGGAATTAATATTTATTCCAAAGTTTTTGTGCCTTTTAAATATGTCTCTCAGGGTTACTATCTATGAGATTTCCTCATACCACCCACAAACAGAATGGAATAGGAGTTACTTCAGTTTCTATTTTCAGCAGGAACAATAGCTTGGAGTATTTTTCTTATGGAAAAAATATGCAATACCTTCTTCCATTTAATTGACTATTAAACTTCATAGTATTTGAGCAATAGAAGCTTTATGAGAATACTTCAGTGGAGAAAGATTTGTTTTCTTTGGTCAAATTGTGTTTTTCTAATTGAGTTTGGAGGAAAAGTATGTCTTTCCCAGGTTTGCTTTTACGGTATTAAACAGAAACACAGCTTTGAAAATTATTTCTCTCCCAGCTCCAAGGTCTCTGCTGTTCAATGCACATTGGCTGGTGTTACATGGCTCTTTCCTCAGACAATAGCAATGGTAAGTGCCATATGAGTCTGCCAGGACTCTCAGTATGCCCCTGCCAGTTCCTGTTTATGCAACATTAGAGTGCCTCAGAGTGCGTGCTTTAGACTGTTCTCTTCCACCCATTAGTTCCTGCGATTCTCTTTGCAGGACAAGAAGCATTCTGACAGCATATCATTCTTTTTCCAGGGAAAAATGAACAGTGATACTCACAGCCTGCACTTGGAGCTGCAGGTCATTTTTCTCCTGCACCAAAGCCACCATTTTCTCCTCAAGCTCCTTCCGCTTTGCCTCAGACTTTGCAAGCTCTTCCTTGGTTTTCTCAAACTCCTGTTTCATGTTGGCCATCTCCTTCTCAGACTCTGCACTCTTCAGCAAGGGCTTGATCTTGAAGAACAGCTTCATCCATGGCCAGTGTTTGACATTCATGAATGAGCGAACGTTGTACTGGATGCAGAAGATGGACTCCCTGAAAACAAATCCATATGGTTATTGAATATCCTGTGTTTGGTCAATTTTGACTCAATTAGCCAGCTACCATTAGAAAATAATGAACAACTGAAAAATATCTACCTCCGCTCGACCATTCTCTGGTACTCCACTCTCATAAGGAAGCCTCTGCACCTGGCTTGTATCATGGTCATAATCTCTGCCAGTTTCTCATCTCTCATCTCCTCTAGCACACCTATCAGTCCAGCTTTGAAGAATACCTTGAGAAAGGCAAGATTGTAGAACATCAGTGTTGGGATGTGCATTACTGGGGCACGCTGTATTTAAATACAGAACTTCATTCTACCTTGGTGTGACCAAATCTGTACTGGGTATGGTCAACATCAATGGACCCAAGAAGCTTCTCTGAAGCCTTCTTGTTGTCCATGAACTGTCCCTCTGGGATAGCACTGGCATTAAGTACTCTGTATCTGTAGGAGAAAGCAGAACATTAAGAAATCAACAGTTCTGAAACCATCACTGTGATTGAACCTCACAGCCTACTCAGCAACAGCTGAAAGTATTAGAGAGTACATTCTTTGAAGACAGTGCAAGACTTGAAAGACACTGCAAGAGAGTGCAAGAACTATTCATACCATTAACTCAGAGTCAAACTGAATCCTCACAATCAGCATAACATAAGTCATAAATTCACGACAAAACATGACAATGTAAAATGTAAAGATTGTTAAGATGATCAGGCTCTTTGGCTTAGTCTGAATTGGCAGAAAGGTGCAGAGCTCTTACCTCTGTTTGAAGTCAGCATAGAGGACTCTGCTGGGGAACCCTTTCCTGCAAATCCTGATCCCTTCCAGCACGCCGTTACAGCGCAGCTGGTGCAGCACCAGCTCGTGCTCCATGGCACCTGACAAATACCACCATTAGTGACTATCCTGCTGTTTTACACGCAGGAGAAAAGCTTCTGCTGCTCAAGCTTTCCTGCCCTTGGCTTGACTTACCAGGTGTTTTAGTTTCATTTGGGATGATGCACCGTACAAAATGGGGGTGAGTGCTTCTCAAGTTAGCCATCAGCTTGTTTAAATTCTCCTGTGAGATTACAAGGAAAAGTTTATGTTTAATCTAGTAAGAATCACATGCCTATCTATGATGTGCATAAAAAAAACATGAGTCCTTCTGGGTCTTGAACTGTATGAAATACATTATTATGTTGGTGTCAAAATTGTATGATTATGAATCAGTGTCTTAGTGAATGATAGGTCTGTCTTCTCATGGCAATTTTATTGAACTCCTATTTTATTTCATTAGATATTTAAATGAGGAAATGAATTCTGCTCTTACCCTGAAGAGAGCTGAGACAGTCTGGAAGGAAGAACCCTTCTTCTTGCCTCCCTTCTTGCCACCACCACCACTCGCCTCGGCTAAATTGAAAATAAAACAGATTTTAGATTTTTTTTTCTTTTTTGCCATTTTTAGTTCCTTTCTGTAGGCTGTACATCAGTGAAAACATAGAATTCAAAGAACCAACCTGCATCTGCTCCACCATAGTTGGCAAAGAGTAAAGCCAGGGTCTTCACAGATGATTTCTGGTACAGCCCAATGACAGTTTCATTCAGAGGGTCCTTGTTCTTCTCCAGCCACCCAGTGATGTTGTAGTCCACTGTGCCAGCATAGTGCACCAGGGAGAAGTGGGCCTCAGCCTTGCCTTTGGCAGGTTTGGGCTTCTGGAAGTTGTTGGACTTGCCCAGGTGCTGGTCATAGAGCTTGTTCTTGAAAGAGGTGTCAGTTGCCTTGGGGAACATGCACTCCTCTTCCAGGATGGAGAAGATGCCCATGGGCTGGGAGAAATCACAAGAAGTGACAGGAAAGGTTATAATGGAAATGTTCACTATCACTTTGGTTGGGATGTTCACCTGCCTGGTCTAGTGGAAGGAGTCCCCCACCATGGTAAGGGATTGGAACAAAATGTTCTTTATTGCCCCTTCCAACCCAAACCATTCTGTGACTCTATGACAATGACAAGAAGCATGTGTTATGAACATCAAAGTCTGGTTGACAGCACCTCAGCCTGGATGAAAGCCTGGGTTTACCAGGAATTGTTCTCAGTCAAGGAATTTATTTCTGCCCTCCATTGCCTCCCTGCACTTTATCTTCATTGAACAGGTAGGAATGTCTGTTCAGTTCACATGAGAATTGGGGGAGCAATGATAAAGAGAAATTCACGGGGAAAACATATACCAGGGGCTCTGTAATTTGGGGAGGTCCATTGGAATGATATTTATTTCTCAGATTTTTCTGTGGACTTTGGATCTGACTGTACCTCAGAAACATCACAGAATTCCATCAGCCGTCATATGCATGCAAGGGAAATGTACCTTCTCAATGAGCTCAATGCAGGCAGCCAGGTCCATGCCAAAATCAATGAACTCCCATTCAATTCCCTCCTTCTTGTACTCCTCCTGCTCCAGCACGAACATGTGGTGGTTGAAGAACTGTTGCAGTTTCTCATTGGTGAAGTTGATGCACAGCTGCTCAAAGCTGTTGAACTGCCCAAAGCAAGGAAAAGTGCACAGGTTCTCAAGGTGTGCCAGAACACACAGGCCTTTGCTGCCATTCTCCTAAGGCTGTTTGAAGTTGAAACACCAGTCCCAACCCTACTAGACCAATATGTGTTTCTACTCTAACACCCACTGTCCTTGAAGGACATTTTCATTATTCACAAATCAAGCAAAAAGTGACAATTCAAAAGGTACAATTCTATGCCACTCAGCTGCAAGTCTTTGGTAAGCTAAGTAGCTCCATGTTGTCAGTTCTCTGAATGATGGATAGTAGAAACCTCCTCAGTGTCCCACCCAAGAATTTACCTGGCCTCAGAACAATAATCTGGGGGTTTTTGTGCTCTGACACAGAAGTCCTTGCATCATCACTGCATTCACAGAACAGGAAACATGCTGTGAACTTGCCCAGACCACTTCCTTAAAAAGAACCTCCAACCCATGGGCCATAGCTGTGTGAGCTTTAGTCCTCTATGTGTTTCTGAGTCCTCCTGACCCCTCCTTGTCCATTGCTTGACTGTGGTGGCAAACCCTTGCTCCTTACATCAAAGATCTCAAAGCCAGCAATGTCCAGGACACCAATGAAGTACTGCCTGGGCTGCTTTGTGTCCAGCTGCTGGTTGATGCGAACAACCATCCACAGGAACATTTTCTCAAACATGGCCTTTGCCAGGGCACCCACTGAATTGTTCACCTAACACAGAGGAGACAGGATTGTAATTACCTCCTAGGGGCAAATAAAAATGTGCACATACTCCTTTAAGCTGTGCGTTTTTAACTGTCAGATGTTACCTGTGTCACGTTTTGACCTTTGGTCACGTATTCATTCCCAACCTTGACTCGGGGGTAGCACAAGGCCTTGAGAAATTCAGCTGAGTTTAGGCCTGTTAGATAGGCAGCCTTGTCAGCCACTAGATAGAAGGAGAGAGAGAAAATAATTTGTTTATGGACAATCTCTACTATTCAGGTGTTGTGAAAAATTCTGCTGTTCATGTTCAAGGAATGGAAGAACATTTATCTCATCCCATACAGGAGGCCTGTGAAGGAATGCAAATTCTGGATACTACTGCTGGTCATCTTTGAAACCAAGAACAAGTATGGCTACGATAGGAAGAGCTTGAACCTGGAATTCCCCAGAAGAACAACAAAAGTCTCTAGCAGGACATAAGGCAAGGTACATTCTCATTCTGTGAGAACGGGATTTCTGGGTAGCACAGCTTGCAGGACTTATTTCATCAGAAACGCAATTACCCCTCAAGGTGTCTTAGTGTTTGTAGGTTTCAGAGAGAGAGAGAGAGAAAGAGAGATATCCTGTGTTGAAACTGAAGTTCCTGCTTTCAGGCAGCATGATTTTGGGGAGACACTACTGGATAGTATAATGGAACTTCTCATGACTAGGAAAGCACCTCTGCACTTGGAGCAAGGGTGAAAAAGGAATTCTCAGTGTTTTCTGTGGAGACTAGGGCAACTGCAGTGTGCCTGCAGAGGCAGAGAAGGGCATAGCACAAATCAGCCCCTGAACTTGCTGCTACCTTCTGTGCCATCAGGCTCTGCCTGCTCCTCTCGTTGTTTCTGCTTGAACTTCAGGTTCCCGTAGTGCATGACAGCCCCTGTCAGCTTGTAGATGGCTGTTTTCTCATCTGCAGTGAAGCCCAGGATGTCAATGGCACTCTGCAGTCAAAATAATGAATTCAAAAACATGTCCTTACTGGGTCAGAGAAGTTACCCTCAGGACATGCCCAGTAGGGATTTTGTTGCTGTGTTACTTACGTCTGTGGCCATGAGCTCCTCCTGGTCATCAATGCTGGGGACAGTGACCTCCCCTTGACTCACATAGTGGAAATCATAGGGGTTGGTGGTAATGAGGAGCATGTCTGCAAACAGGAAGAGTCAAAGCATAGATTTACTTTTCCAATCAGGTGAGAGGGGGAACTGTTCCTCAGTGCTCAACCCCAAAAAGCCAAAAATGCTCCTTCCTACCAATTAGCTCTGGCTTCTTGTTGGACATGATCTGATAAAAGATGTGGTAGCTCCTTTCCGCCTTGAGCTGGAAAGTGACTCTGGACTTCTCCAGTAGATCTGGCAAGGATGGTAGAAAGAATTAGATCCTTGTGAGAATGTACCTGGATGTGGGAATTTGGGAAGTGGTGAGAACAGTCTAGGAGAATGTCTTACACGTTTCAATGTCAGCAGAAGCCAGTTTGCCTGTGGCACCAAAGTGGATTCTGATGAATTTGCCCTGTTAAGCAGAAGCAGCAGCAGGTCAGCCTGGATGTGTTCTGCTGACGTCTCCTTTGCAGGAAGACGTGCTCAGGCATCATGTGTGCTGCCATGATTGGGGGAGATCTAATGCAAAGCAAGAACTCACAAAGCGTGAGGAGTTGTCGTTCCTCACGGTCTTGGCGTTTCCAAAGGCCTCCAGCAGTGGGTTGGCGCTGATGATTTGATCCTCAAGCGTTCCCTGCAGGGACATCATTATTCAGTGTCTGTGTTTGGTTGACAGGGCAATGGCAGGCCAAGCATTCTGTCTGTACTTTCTGACTCACCTGCATTTTGCCTGATGACTTATCCTCCTTTTTCTTGTCCCCACTGGCTGCAATTGTTGCAAAGTACTGGATGACACGCTTGGTGTTCACAGTCTTCCCGGCCCCGGATTCTCCGCTGCCCAAGCCAAGAGAGAAGCAGAGGGTGCGTGGTGAGGCAGGAGGGGCCCTGGCACCGGGCAGCCCCGCAGGGACCCGCGCAGGGGGTGTACGTACGTGATCAGGATGGACTGGTTCTCCCGATCTGTGAACAAGGCAGAAAAGAATAGATTATTATTATGCACTTGCAATAGGTATCTGATATCTTTCAGAATCCCTTATGCTTTCACCTGTTTTGAATACTTTCATATTCCCAGCTGCTGGTGGGAAGCTGACTTCTCAACCCTCTGATGGTGTCTGGTGTAGCACACATTCAGTTGTGTTTCTGGTAGTCCCTTCATGTCATACTGTTCATTTTGTTTATGAAAATAGTTCCAACTAAGGATCAATTTTGTAGAGTTACTGATTAAATTGTCAATCGGTAAACTGTATTGAACCGGAGCATGTGCTTCTCATAAACTTTATTACATAGGAACAACCACTCCAAGCAGTCCACAAGACCCTCTAAATGGTTTTTATGTTGGTTTCCAGTTGGTTGTTGGTGAAATAAAATTACAGGAACATCATAAACATCTAGGAACCTTTATCAACATAATCTTCTCTATAGTATTGAAATTTTGGTACTTCCAGAGGTAGAATTAATGTATCCTCTTTTCAATAGCTTGAGCTGAGTTTATTTTCCACAATTTCATCTGTTTGCTTTCTTAATCCATGCTCACTTATTTTTGTGTTCCATTGCTATGCTCCATTTTTGAATCACTCAGTGACAAAGGAAAAAAATATGTTCCTGGTGTTGAGCTTGTTTCATAATGTACTCTGTCTTTTCTATTCATATTATCTTTGCCATGCATAATTTTATAAAGTAATAAAAATCTTTCTAGAGTTACCAGCACAGCCTGTCCTATGTTTGGGAAACCTTTTCATCTTCCTCTTGACCTGTTCCACTTTACAACATCTTTTTTGTGAAGAAGGAAGCCTGAAATGCATACAACATGCCAGGGGCAGATACCCCTGCATATAGTAATGCTTTCTGTTTTGGTCTTTATTTCTTGCTCAGTGGTCTTCAGGTCTCAGCTTTTTATTTTTTACATTTATGATCCTTGAGACAAAATTTTGAAGCAGTATTAGAAGACACTTATAAAAGTTGTTAGCAATGAGGGTTTTTCCCTAGTGGCATTTGTTTCACACTCCTGTTCACAAAAATTTCTTGCAAATTCAATGAATAAGAACTTAATATAATAAATTCCCCCTGTAATTCTTCATTATTAGACTTCATTTTTGCTGACCTTAATAACTTAATCAAATCAGAAATATTTTCATCACTTCCATATTATTTCAAAAAATGTTGAACAGTTGAAGGTCCAGAACAAGCCCTTTGAGACCTGCCATTCAGACCAATTTTCAATCCAGTTCACCATCCACTTGTCCAGCCCTCACTCCCTCAGTTTGCCTATGAGCATATGAGAAACAGCATCAAAACCCTCGCTGAAATCCAAGTAGACAATATCCAGTGCTCTCTCCTTATGTCTTGATGCAGTTCTCCCATTGTAGAAAGAAATCAAGTTGGTTAAGCATAATTTCCCTTTGGTGAAACAATGCTGACTACTCCAGATCAACTTCTTGTATTCTGCATTCTTAGAAATAGCCTCCAGGATTAGCCATTCCAACACTCAGGTGAGGCTGTCAGGCTTGTAGTTCCTTGGATCTTCCTTTTGCCCTGTTTGAGGACATGTGACATTTCTTTTCCTGCAGTCCTTACACACATCTCCTGACTGCGTTGACCATTCCAAGGTGGATGAGAGAGGACAAGATATGATGTCCTCCAGTTCCCTCAGCACTTGCAGGTTCATCCCATTTGAATGAATTTGTGGATGTCAGGTTTGACAAAATTATCTCTAACCAGATTCTCTTCAACCAAAGGAAAGTCTTCATCATTTCCAATGACAAGAGCATGCACCCTCACAACACTATTAACTATTTTGCAATTAAGAGACTTTTTCGCCTTTGTGAGTGTTTACAGCCAAGTGATTTTAAAGAAAATCATGAAACTCACCAGTCAGCATGAACTGATAGGCGTTGTCAGAGATGGAGAAGATGTGTGGAGGGGCCTCCTGGCGCTTCTTGCCTCGGTAGGCCAACACCACCTCGGGGTTGTACACCGGCAGCCACTTGTAGGGGTTGACGGTGACGCAGAAGAGACCCGAGTAGGTCTGTGAGGAAGGGACACAGCACTCAGGCTTCCCCTGAGCCTGGCCCAGCAGCTCCTGAGGCTGCCCAGAGGAAGCTGCTGCTGCCACTTACGTAGATCATCCAGGCTGCGTAACGCTCTTTGAGGTTGTACAGCACGGCGGGTTCGTGGAGGTGGGTCATCATGGCCATGTCCTCGATTTTGTCATACTTGGGAGGGTTCATGGAGAAGATTTGATCTTCTTTCACAGTCAGGGTCTGCCAAGAAAACAGAAAGATCCACATGTATCATGTAAAAGCTCAAAGTGGGGATCGAATGTTCCCCTTGAGCCTTGTTTTTGACTCACCTCTCCCCCTTCAGTCTTGACAGTGACTTTTCCAGATTCCCTGCTCTCAATTTTGCCTTTCACAAAGGATTCTTTGGGATGAACCACAAATACAGATGTCTTGGCATCGAAAGGTTTGTTCTGGGCCTCAATTCTCTCCTTTTCCGATTTTCGGAGGTAAGGAGCCGCCTCCCCAAAACACGCTAACTCAGCATCTGCAGAGCTCATGTCTGCACTTTACTGAAGGCACATCAGCAGCAAAGAACCCTGTAGAAGAAAAGAAATGTAACATGAATGGATCATTAATGTACCTTGCTTGCAAGGACAGCTTTTCTAATGCTTTAAAACTGGGCACTTATTAGAATTGCTAAAACTACCAAAAGTTGCCTTCCTTGTGTTTAATAATTTAAACCCAGAAGAGAAAAATATTGTTTCATCCTTAAATAATATTTAATAACATTGTAAAAATTTATTGTGTGTCTTATGGAACTGTACAGATTTTACTTTGGCTGTATGGATTCTTGTGTCATATTTGAGATTATGAAATATATTAAAGGAACCTTTTTATTCTAGTATAAAATAATTGAAATATAGATAGAATAAATACTATAGCCTTAAAAGCAGATGGAAAAACTTAGTTGAAAACCAGTTTTAAAAGAAAAATATATATGCATAATATGCAATAATGGAAATACCTAATAGCTAGATTCAGTGCACTTACCTTGAAACTTTTTGAGAAGACAGGGCAGAGCACTGCAAAGACTCTTTTATAGAGTCTGGTTGGCAGGTGCTCTGGATTCTTCCCCTTTCTTCGGTCAAAACATTTTTTGGCAAACATTCTTTGGCAAAGCATTGTCTGGCAAACTGAACTAAGGGCATAGTCATTTGATTTAATATGATATATTTAGAAATGTTTTGTATCTTACCAATGCTATGAATGTATTCACTATAAATAATTTGTCTAGAGACATAAGGACAGTTCAGTTAGTCTAGGCATTTGGAAAATTTGGATGTAGGACCAGTGAAATATACTGCTGCATTTCCACTGGTCCATGTACTCAAGGCAGATTTTTATTGCATGACTGTGGTGTTACTCTGATACATCCTCAGTCCAGCATTTCCCTTGCATCACAAATATCACTGTCACTGAAGCTCATTTAAACAAGCTCTTCTTCTGGTCATTGCCATTCTGATTACTAAAAGAGCTCAGTGGGTAAAGCTCAATGAAGAGCACAGGGGCAAGGTCTGTAAATGTGATCCAAGGACATATCAACATCAAGCACAGGCATGGGCACAAAAAGCTTGTTCCAAGGATGAGCATGCAACTCTCTGGAGCTCAAAGCCACAGCTCAGCCCTGGGCTCCCTGGGCAGAGCAGGGGGAAACTGGTGGAAACACCCTCTGCCCTGAACCGGAGGAGCTCAGAAACAACCTGTGTAAAACAGTGAGTGCAGGGGGGCATCAGAAGTCCTGTGTCTGCACAATCTATGACTTTCACAGACATACAGAACTCAGAGGACAAATCAGAGAATGGTTTGGGTTGGAAGAAACCTTAAAAGAATCACCTAGTGCAGCACCGCTGCTGTGGATAGGAATTTTGAATAGAAGAGGTTGCTCAAATCCCCATTCAGCCTGAGCTTGCACACTTCCAATGATTCCAGGGGCATTCCCTTATTCTGGGGCCTGTGTCTCACTGGCGTCTTCATATAAAATGTCACTTTTATATCCAACCAGAATCTATCTTCCCTTCAATGCATCGACTGCGGCACGTGGTTTGTTGTTATCAGCAAACTTGCTGACTGTGCCCTCAATCCCACTGTGCATGCTCTTGAAAAATGTGTTAAATAATGCTGATTTCAAAAAAACATGCCGGGGACACAATTTGTTACTGGTCTCCACCTGAATTTCAAGCCATTGACGACAACTCTTGGTGTGTGATCATCCAGCCCATGTACTGCATATTTTCCAGAAGGATCTGCTCCAGGATCTTGCCCCACAGAGAGGTGAAACAGACCAGCCTGTAGTTCCCTGGGTCTTTCTTTTGCCCCTTTTTAAAAATGGGGATTTTTCTGTCAATGGAACTTCATCAGACAGCCACAATTTGTCAGGTATGATGGATAGTGGCTTAGCCAGTTCCCTCAGAATCTGGGGATTCATCCCACCAGGGAAACTCTCTCATCTCTCCTTCCTTGACTCTCCCTTCCAAATATTTTATGACTGTTAGTCACAGCACATGTCAGTCATGCAATCCATCCCAACAAGTTTGTGTGCTAGCAATCAGGCCATAGTGCCTGTCTGGGCAGTGGCTAGCAGCTCCTTCTGTCTGCAGCCCACAGGGCTGCACTGATAGAGAGACACTTCATCTGGGCTACCAGCCACATCTCCTTGTTAGAGGAGTTTGCCCTAATTCCCATAAAATAATCCAATGGTTTGGTCACTAATTCATTCCTAGCTTTGACTCAAGGACAGCACAGGGTCAAAGCAGGTCTGCTGAGCACAGAACCATCATGTGGCTGCCTTGTCAGCAACTGAAACACAAGAGACACAAACAAAAAATTGATCACTGGACAAGTATTGGAATTTGATGTGTGTTTATGTATATGTGTGTGTGTGAATTACCATTAATGACCAAAATTCTTGACTGAAAATCTTTTAATCCAGTGTCACAACAATTGAATACAGAAAAGCTACAAAAGCCCATATTGGTATTTTTCTGAACATAGTTATCAGTAAGAAAACTTTCCTTGGATATTTTAACTAAATTTATAAAACAAATTACTTATTTTAATAACTTCTCTTTAAAAATTCATTAATATTATAACTCAACTTCTTCTCTAGAGTTGGCTCTGTGATATATAGACTTCTCTTAATGGCAGTACAGACCATGGCCTTTGGAATATAAGAGTTTTCTTAGATCATGACTATATATGAAACTAGAGAGACTTTGTCTTCTAAAAACCTTGTCAAAACCCTGCATATCAAAATGTAAAATGCATGAAAGTATCCCAATGAAAAAAACAAACTGAAGGAGTACCATTTAGTAATGGAGGCCAGGGGTCAGACAATCAGTTTCATATATACTAAAGGAAATATTGTTTTCACATTATGAACTCATATCTTTTGTCCTGTCTGAAAAAAAAAGTATTCCCCAAAACTGATTTCTTTATTAACAGGTTAGGTGCTAAGGATTTTCTGTGCCAACTGGCAAAAACCTGCAATCCATTGTAACTAAATCCAAGGTGATTTTACAGAAAATGGAAAAGCAGAAACCTGTTGTAGCTCATATATAGACAATATATCGACTCTTGAAATTCAGCTCATGTATAGAACTAAGATGAATTCCAGAATCACTTGAGGTGATTTCCAGAATCATGAGATACATACCAATATATAAAAATATATTATAATTATAAATATGAAGGAATATTATATTTAAAAGATATTAAATTAACTTGCCCTGAAAGATAAGATATAAAAGACATTCTGCATGTCACTAAAAATGAATCATTAGTGCAAATTATTGTGTTTTTTACTTGTACCATATAAGATTTTAACAGCTAAAAATCACAGCATCCCCAGATCTGTAAAAATAAGGAAGTGCTTTGCTTTGAGCAAAAAGATTAAATTTATGATTTATAGAATTCAGACAGAGGAAGTATGTAACAACCCTTACTTGAGACAATGAGAGAAGAATGAGGGATATCTGATGCTTCTCCTAGGGTGACAGCTGGGGGTTCTCTCCCCTCACATTTGGAACTGAAAATCTTTGCTTTCCCAGTGGCAAATGACAAAGACAGTCGACTCAGCAGAGCACTTCTGGGGCTTTTTTTCTATTGTGTTGTGCAGGATGTGGACCCAGCCTTGCAACAGGCAAGAGTGAGGCACGTGGCCAGGGAGCTGTTGGGCTGCTAGTCCTTAGGAAAGGGTGTGCTGAAAGCAGCAGCGATGTCTTAACACTAAAAGAAAAATTAAATAGATCCTGCCCACCACTGTCTCCCAGTTCTGCTACTGTCACTGCAGGGCTGGACTCTGATCCAGCTGAGAGCAAAGCATGGCACACTCAAAAAAAGGAGAGGGAGAGTGAGCACAGACCCTGGACACAGAATATCCTGCTCAGCAATGTGGGGTGGGCAAAGCATGACAGTGCTGACATTTCCCATGAAGAAGAGACTGAAGCATGCTGAAAATAGAACCATCTTGAGAAAGACATCAAGCAGCTGACTCGCTGTCTGCCAGTCCTTAGGATATGACTTCTTCTATCTCAGACTCTGTGTTAGCAGGCAGAGAGAGAGAATACTTAGCAACAAGTACAAGTATGTACATACACAGATTTCCAGCCTATGGTCTGACAGAATCTCACAGTTTTTAGATTTGCATCGTTAACTGGAGACTAGAATTTATAGCATTCCATTGTGGGATACTTTACATAGCCTGGAAGAGTGATATTTTCTTCATTACTTTTATCCATGATTCAATAGTTTCATTAATTATTTTCTTCAGTGGAAGAAGCCCCATGGTTCTTGTTCTGGTGTCAGAACCTATTGCCAAAAACAAACCTAGGAAAAGAGTAATCAGTTCTTCATATAATTTTCATCCATTCTGTTATGCAGCTTGAGAAAAATGATTGAAAATGAGCACTACTGACTTCTTGCATTTGGCAAGGAAGGCCTTTACATCCTGTCTAGGTTGAATCTTATTAAAAATAGATTACCCTGTGGCAGTCAGCAGAGTCCACTGTAGCAGAAAATTGTGAGGTCTCATTTCTCCTTTCACTATGGTGCAGCAGTGAAATTATGTTCAATTTATAAATTTTATCTGCTCATCAACTGTCTCTTGCAGCCTCATTAGTTTCTACTTTTTCACTAGTTTCTCAGTACAATCTGAAATTTTAGACATGTCTTCAGGATGTTTGTTTATCCAGTAGGACATCCACTCAGTGGGCAATAGATGAAGAAGTGCTCATTTATAGATTAATAAAGAAATTTTCACATGTTAGGTAGCATCATGCCTCACTGAGATTGTGACTGGGAAGTGTTGAGTCCAGAAACTTTTCCAGAAGATTGGCAGCTATGACATTTATTTCTGACTGACTATATGTTTGGGGATAATTCATTCAATAAGCATCGGTAGATTTCCAGTGTAACACTGATTATGTTTCTATGATGGACATGTCCTCTGATCTAGGCCTTGTGAAGTTTTACTGCTTACAGAATGGCATGGCATGGGAAAGATGCAGTAGAGATTCAGGGGGATAACAAGATGCATTGCAGAGTGAAACTGGGTCTTGATAAGTAATCACTACCACCACCAGATGAAGATTAAAACCATGACTCCAAGTGACTTATTTCCCTAACAACATGAAACTCACAGGATAAAGCAAACCACTCCCTGCTGGCAAGCCCTGAGAGGCTGGACAGAGCTCAGAGATGCTCAGCTTAGGCTCCAGTAGGAAACCTCCTGCTGTGGGTCAAGGACCTGAAGAGCAGGCTCAGGTGCCCTACACAAACAGCAGTGTCTCCTTGTGCCTGGGGACAGGACACTGCAGCTCCTCCTCAGGTAACTGGAGTCCCTGATGCCCTGACCAGGAACTGGGAGGTGCTCAGGGCCATGGGAGGGACCAGGGATGAGCAGGATCTGCATGGATGTGCTGTTTCTCTGGAAGACCATGGCCCATGTAAACTAAGCCCAGACACAGCTGGGAGAGCAGAGGAGCAGTGTGTGAGCCTGTCCCACCCTGTGCCTGGGCAGGGGCTCGTGCACACCGCAAGGGACACACCTCCAAGGACATGCTGAGGTCAGGTGGGTGAGGGTGAGAAGAATGGGAGCACTCATCAGTGGGGAAACTGAGAAGGGGTAATGCAGGACAGAGGATGCAAAAAGACGAGGGACAGGCAGTGGAGAGAGAAGATGCAGTAATGTGGGTGCATCGTAAATGAGAAGTTGATGCAGCAGAAATTTTGCTGGAATAGAAAGGGCTTGAGCTCTGCTGTCACTCCTGTAGGAATCCAAGAGACAAACTCACTACAACATCATTCATTTTAGAATGTGCTAACAATTTTCAGCATTTCTTTTTCAGTCTCAAAAAGCAAAAATCTCAAGAGGAGCTTCATACTTTGGAAATGGAAATCAAGAATTGTGATGAAATCCTTTTAATTCATTGTCTCCCTTGTCGTTTTAGAAATCACTTAGTTTCAGTAGGCTGAACCAAGAAAACAAAATTAATCCAAATGCTACATCTGGAATACATATACATACTTATTGTTGCCAAAAAAAAAGGTTAATATCACATAAATTTGGAAAATACACAAAGTTACTAAAATAGTTTATCTTCTAATGAGAAACCTTTAGCTGTAGGAATGAAATTATCAACATGCAAGAAAAAATGTTGTCTCATATACTGACTTGATCCAAAATGCAAAGATAAGCACCCAGATTTCTTGTTAAAAAATTGAAGATGTTCAGCATTTTTTACTGCTTCATGTTAGTTTTACATTAATCTAGAAGGAAAATTTCCAATGGGAATTGCAGGTTGCAAATGCAATGGGATTTGCAGCTTGCAAATGCTATACTCAGCTATGCTGTTAATATTTATAAAACATTCCAGGAGGGACCTTTTTGCCTGCAGATCCTTAATGACTGATAAGGAATGTGTAGCCTCATACTGAAGATCCCTGGGTAAAATAAGACCTCTCAGGAATGCTGGCATGAAACAAGGAGAAATGCCAGAACATTAATTCTCTGGTGCAAGCTTCTCACTGTGACACTTCTGCTAAGATGTGACTGAACACTGGACCCTGGAGATGGTAAGAATGAATTCACATTGAATTTCTATTGAAATATGGGTACTGTGTTGAATTAAATTAAATATGTTGAATACTTTCTCTGGTTTTGGCATATTTAATCTGGGTAAAATGAGTCCATCAGAGACTTGAGCTATCATTCCAGATGAGCAATGCTAAAATGGATAGATAGAAAAACAGATGGGGATTATGTCTTGCAAAAAAACAGTGATGAGCCTAACAAAGAAGAGATTAACTAACCTGGTGAGGTACTTTGGGCCAGTTACTGGCTTGGCCTTTGCAAGAACAGAACATGAGAGAGCTGGCCTTTGTGCCTGCACTGCTTAGAACAGCCTTGTATCTCAGGGGAGCTGTGAATGGACTGAGATGGCTTTGTGCTCTTCTGATCTGCCCCTTCCTTTGGAGACTAATTTCTGCAGTGTTTGATACAGTTATTAGCTGATCTCACAGCAGGGAAAACATACTGGATTTCTGAAGTTTCAACGGTACATTTTAAACCTAAGAATGTCTTTATTTTGCTTGGTGAGACCTAAGTCCCCACTGAGGAAAAAGAAGTCTTGCAAAGAAAAGCGAAGAGCGAGGGCAAAACCAGCTAGAGATTAGAGACAGTTGACTCACAGAATTTTTAGACTTAAACTGCTTTCTGTGTGCGTGAGATTTCTATGGTTACCCAAATTCCTCTCATCTTCACAGCATATGTCAGAGAAAGAAACATGAGCAGCAGGTTCTGGATGAAGAGGCGACATTCAGGATGCCCTTTCCATCACATGCCAGAGTAGCTGAAAATCTTCAGTTACCAAACAGGTGAGTGAGGTGGACAGGCTCTGATGGCAATGGAAAGAGAAGGAAAAGGACCTGGACAATGTCATGGAAAGAGAAGAAATGAGCACAGCAAAATGAAATAAAATTAGCTTGACTAATTCGCTTGTTTCTCTGTTGACTGCACTAGAAGAGAAGCAGAGAGAGGCTACACTATGGAAATAAATTTGCTTAGATTTGCACAACTAGCCTTTTCTTTCCTCTAAGTGAATGTTGTAATAATGTAAAAAAATGCTTACCACTTTTCTTCATAAAACAAGAAGGACATCAGAACATTAAACCCAAATTGTACAAGGCATTTTCAAGTGCAGAAAAAGTCTGCAGTATTGATAACAGATGTTTTGTATTGGTAATTCCCATATTCATTATTTACATTGGAAGAAGAGGGTTCTCCAAATTTGCTTTCAGTTTTGAGAGGCTACACATTAAGAATAGTAAAACTTTGGTTTCCCTTAGGTGTTCTACATGTGCCCTAATCATGTAATATGGATCTTCAATAAAGCTGTGCTGCAATTCCCAGGAGAACATGTAGAACTAGAACCATCTATCGAAAGACGGCTTTAGGAGGAGCACACATTGATTGAAATTATTAGTTTAGACTGAAAATTATGGCGAGTTGTAAGAATCCTAAAAAATCCCTGCAAAACAAACAAACAAACACACAAATAAAACAACACCCTGAAGCCCCCAGGTTTCAATGAGATGGGCCAGGCAGTTTCAGCAGGTTTGAAGCCCCCAGGTTTCAATGAGA